TTCGCTCTCTTTTCAACCTTTCATGTCTCTTGCTGCCCTTAGGCTTGTCTACGACTGGTTGGATTAGGCTCCTAGGGAAGAGGGTTTTTCATGCCTCTTTACCCATAGGTCCCCTAACCTCTCTCAGAGACTCGCACCACAACTCATCCGACCGAGGGTACATCACATCTTTGCACAAAATGGTTTTGCCATATCTTTCCAAAATTTGAGGACCCTTTCCTTAAAGCATAATTGGTCTTTCACAGTTCTTAGTCCACACTCATCAGTCCTTTAATCCGTCTGAAGGGCAAGTACTCATATGAAGTAGCACCAACTACTTCGTCTTTAGTCATTCCCAATTCAAAGAGCAACCCCTTAAAAGCGGAATCAGTACCATAATTTTATCTTGTCTAAGTACCCCTTCCTCTTTTGCTTTGCTTAGACAGAATCATCCTTTCACAGCTCTTATCCTCAAGTCTTTCTAAAGGAGTAAGTACTTATATGAACTGGAACTAGTTGCCAAACCTTTATTCATCTTCCCAGTTGAAAGAGCAGCCCTATTGCCATTGCTTTCTAGGAATTCAAAATGCAAAACGACACCACAATCTTGTCTCATCCAAGTCCGCTTCTCTCTTTTCCTTTTGCTATAGCTATCTTCTATTGCTTCTACTGCCTCCTTGTTGTTGAGTCTCATTCTGCTGAGCCTGCATGGCCCGAGCGTCCAATTCTTTTTGAATCCTTCTTTTTGTCATCTGCAGGTCAACGAGTGTTCCTTCCGTGAGGACCTTCCGTGAGGAAGGCTGTTGGCGTTATCTCTTATCTTCTGCTCATCTTTTCTTGTGTCTTTAACACCCAATCGTGTCGCATGATGCTTGTCCGTTGGCTAAACCAGTGGTTACAGGTTGGCCCAAACTATCGTATCCACTTATCATTCTCATTCTCCAGATTCTCGTCCCTTGGCCTTGCTTCTTCCGTTGATCTCGTGACTTCCTCTGTTTCTTCTTCACTGCTGATATCTATGACCTCCTTGGACCCTTCCTCATTTTCTCCTCTACTGCTGTCCTGGATGGGGCTATATCCTCCATCCCGTTCGTCCGCCATGTGGTGGTATGGCCTCTCATTACATTCATCATAATGCCATTCACTGTCCTCAGTCTGTTCCTCTGCATATTTCTGACTCCTTTCCCTCTCCGACTCCTCCCTCTTTTTCGGGTCCGCGTTTCCCTCACTGCTTTCACTTCCAGACTCGACATATATCCCTTCCCCTTCTCTAAGAGGTGAGGGTCCCCTAGTTTTCTGTTTCCTTCCACCCCTGCCCACAACCAAGTTGAAGTCATGCCCCACATACAGCTTCCTTTTCTTAGTGTTAGGTTTCCCAGCCACTGACAGCCATTCTTGTCTTTTGCTGCTCAGTGGGTCTGTTAATGAGGTTGTTGTCGTTTTCATTGCCGAATTTCATCTTTGTTTTTTTTCTGGTTTTGTCCTAGTCCTGTAAACAAACGTCAAAAACAAACCACAGCCACCCCCAAACTCACATATCCCCTCCTAACCCGGTCGCAAGATTTGTAGGCTTATTCCCCAGAAAAAAACCTCGTTCAGCCCCCATATGATTCATAGTTGTCCCCTGGCAAACCGTAGGCGGATATTCCCATCATCCCACAAAACTATGATACATTGCCCCCTGTGTCCATCCACCCCATATGGAGAGTTCCCTCATTCCCCCACAAAAACTATAGTACATTACCCTAGTGCGCCCAACCCCATCATCATTCAGCCCAAGCAGTTMCCCCCGCCTCAGAAAAAGAGAAAGAAAGAAAGAAATTCAAACAATCTTGCAGTTTTAATCCCTTTCTTCATAAGGAACGTGTTGGATCTTTAGCCCAGATGAGACTGCCGCCTATTCCTTAAGTTGCCGATTCCACAGTTTCCTTATCCTGAGCTTCCTGCAACCATTGTTTCACTGGATCCCGACTTAGGAACCTGACCAGCCGCTGACCTGGGAAAGGCCCTTTTAACCCAGTTTCATCCAGACTTTCAAGTTCAACCCCACCCTCTTTGCAACCCGGTAGGGACCTTTGAACCTCCTCCCCAGTTATCCAGACCATGTACTTTCCAATGCTGAGTTTCTAACCAGTATCATTTCCCCCACTTGGAGTGACTCTTTTCGGATATTTTTGACTTGATCCCATCTTGCTTTATCTCTCATCCGGCTATCCATCACCCGTTTAACAATATCATCCAGGGCGTCCTCATTTCTAAGGATTTTCTGACATCGTACCTTAATCAACCCCTCCGTGGTCAAGCGCGGATTGTCGTCTAGCCTATTCCAGGTGGGTACCAATGCCTCCACCGGGAAATCAACCTCCCTCCCGTACCAGAGTTCTACCGGAATACATCCTGTCGTTCTCTTCGACGTCATGTTCTCTGAGAAGACAATCTGCTTAAGATATCGGGGCCAATTTCCTAGGTCGTCTGCCGCCAGCTTGGCAATCATGTTTTTCAGGGTCCGGTGTCCCCTTTCTACGGGTGCGTTGGCCTCAGGGTGGTACGGCTCAATGATCTTGATAGGCACGCATAGCATTTTGAGCGTGCCTAGTACTTCTTGGTTTACGAATTCCGTCTCATTATCCGCGATGAATCTTCGGATAAAGGGGTGTCTTAGGTAGAAATATTTTATCCAGTTCGCTACTCCTCTCCCCGTCTTCCTTTTGAGAGTCGCTGCCTCCACGAAGCCACTCAGGTTGTCTCTTGCGTCCAGAATGTACCTGTATCCATCGGTGGACACAGGCATGACGGCGAGGTCGAGATGAACGAGATGCTCTGACCCTAGTACCTGCGTGGGTCTAAGGGGCTCAAAGACACGTGTTGAGCTTCTTTCCTGGCAAATCAAGCATGTTTGACAATAAGTGGCCACCATGCCTGCCATGCCTGACAAAAAATAAAGCGGCGCGATTTTTGCAAGAGTCCCTTTTGACGATCGATGTCCCCCTGCTAGCCCATCATGCATTGCTTGTATTACGTCCAGCTGTCTAGATCATCCGCACACGACCCTCTTGGGTGTCACCCCTTCCTCTCTTTTAAACAGATGTTCATTCCTCAGTACATACTTCCCTGCCTTCTCTCTCGCTTTAAGGCTGACTTCCGCGGGTTGCTTGTTCCCTATTAGCAACAAGCCGATCTCTCGGAAGATGCCGTCATACATCTGTATGAGGAAAAAATTTTGCCCTCCCTGGTTCATATCCTGCCTCTCCTGAGTCTGGTTTACTAAGTATCGCAACTCATTTTGCTCCCATGATTCTACCAGGCACATTACGGCATCCCGACCCCCTTTAACCGTCATTGCTATCAATTCCTTTCTTGGGCCCACTGCTGCCCCCCACGAATCATTTTCATCCTTACGTCTTATTGTCGTGAATGGACCTTCCCTGAGTTCCGCAACTACGGTCGGCGCCCCTTTTTCCAAAGTCTGAATCAACAATCCTCCTCGCGTGCATGCGGGGCTCATCATCTCATTGTGCACGGCGAGGGTCCCTCCCTCGTAATCTAGGAAGGCGTCGATAGCCTCCTCATCCTCTACTCCCTCCGGCGTGATGAAGACCCGTCTTAGTCTGTCCGCCTTGTTCCGGAGCCCCGCAATTCGCTCGACCTTGTAATTGAATTGTCAGATAAAGCCTATCCATCTCTCAACCGTCGGGTTTATAGGCTTGTAATTCTTCAATGCTCCTGCGACGTTAGTCGGATCGTCCTTAGGATAAACCACCTTCCGAATAGGTAGGCTTGAAAGGTCTCGAGGCAATATAAGACAGCTAGAACCTCCTTTTGAACTGGGAGTATCGCCGTTCTGCCGAATTCAAGGTTCTACTTTCGAACCTTATTGACCTTTCTCTGCCCTCCTCGCCTCTCTGTATTAGGACACCTTCTACCGCCAAAGGTCCTCCATCCGTCTCGGGAATGAATGGTCATCCTACTTCGTCACTGAAGCAGGATGCTGCCAAGGTAACTTTGTTGGAAGTCAGTACGTCCTTAAGGGTCTGCACCGCCATCTCCCTTTCCTCGGTTCATTCCATACTTCCTTCTTCCCTAATCATCACGCGGATAGGCTCGGCTATCTTTGCAAAACTTTTAATGAAAATCCTCCAGAATCCGACCACCCCTAAGAAGGCTCGGACTTCCGTCGCGGTGCGCAAGGGTGTCGGTCATTGAGAGATGTTGTCCGTCTTTGCTTGGTCAGGCTTCCTCCCATAGACCCAGCAGCGAAACCCTAGTATTGTCACTTCTGGGACCGCCAGGTTGCTTTTCGGTCCGCTAGCAGTGATGTTATATACTAGGAAGCGCTGGAGTAGATCTTTGATGTCCTGCAGACAAATTTCCGAACCCCCGGCCGGACCTCCGTCTCGTCCTTGTCCTGCGCGCCTTTTATAGGATTATCGTCTATGTATGGCTCACATTTCTCTGGAAACATGTCCCCGGCTACTGCAAGCATCCTCCTTTGTGTCGTTACCTCTGCGTTTGTGAAACCCATAGGCGTTACCTGCATTTGCAATTGTCCTGTAGGGATGTGCATTGCGGTATATGGTATATCCCTGGCGTCCACTGGAAGCTGGTCGTATCCTGAATACAAGTATACCAAGGAGTAAATACTTCGGTCCGCGTGCGACTCCGCCAGCAGATCTGCTTGCGGAAGCGATCCTGCATCCCAGATTGTTACCGAATTTAGCTTTTGTAAATCTTGGATCCACCTGAGTGTCTTGTTGGGCTTTCGAAAGACGGACCATCTGTTCGCATAGGGGGACGCAGTGGGTTCCGCAACGAAGGAATCCATCTTAGCTCTGAGCAATTTTGCGACTTCTGCTGCTATCCCAAATTCGTAGGCAGACCCTTTGTCGTTCCAACGTTCGTGTTCCACCGTGTGAATCATAACGGGGGAAATTAACTTTGCATCCAATCGTCCTTTCTGATGGTCGTTAAAGGCGAAAGCCAAGTGGAATTTTTGGCACGTCTTTTTTATCAACCGAGTTTCTTCCCCCGTTAAGAATTTATCAACCCTTATCTTCATGGTGTCTGCCACCTCATCCGGTATCCTATACCCTTCCACCGCTCGCCTCTCCCTTATCACCCTGAAAATTTCTTCCTCTTTTTCCATGGCCTCCTCCTTGGACGTTTCCAATAAGATCGAAACCGGCTTAGCTTTTTTGCCTCCTGGTTTGTACTTTCGGATGTTTCCTTGCGGGATTGTTCGCCTAAAAAATGAATGGTCGGGCCTGGCTTTGCGGTCTCCTTGACACGGGGTTGAACACCGACTATCTTCCCGTTCAGACAGTAGCCCTTTCGGACCTCTTCCTCAAATTTTGCAAGTATTGCCGAATCCACTTCTACTTTGTGGTACTTGATAGCCTTAACGAGTTGTAGCAGGTTCGAAATTTCAAGTGCCACTTCCGGCCTCTCTTTCCGACATTCCTTTGGCTTGGGCAGGCTAGCCCCAAGTTCGACCTCCGATTCCTTTTCTGCCACCATGACTCCTAAGACCTCGTCTTCTTGCCTTCTTTTCTTGTGAGGCAGACCCATCTTAATCCATTCCTTCTTACTAAAAGCCTCCTCGATCATGATTTTCACTCTTTCTCTCATGCCCTCCATTTGAGCGAAAGCTCCTTTCCGCGCACTATCCTCGAATGTTGGTGACCATGTTGCCAATTTTTCCGTTGGAGGGTCTCCTCCTGTCCCAAGGAGTCGGAGGAGCTCGCCCCGAACGGTCACTGGGTCCTCTATGTCCACCATGTACGTGCCGTCGTGCAAGTGCATGCCGATCATTTCTACGTTGGCACACCACAGCCTCCCGAGGATTATGTCATGGTCCATCTCCTCCATTACGGTCATCCGCTGGAACGACCAAATTGACTCCCTGATTCCAGCTTTGACTGCACATTTCCTGACATACCCAGCGAATGGAATTTCTCCACCGGCCCCCCGGATGCTCCCTGTAACTTCTTTGTTCACCGTACAACCTATGATCGTGGCGAAGTCTCTCCTTATGAGGGTGATTTCCGCCCCTCCATCTACTAAGGCGTCGGTGTGATGCGTCCCGATGTGGACTTTCAACTTCCTGACAGGCAGCGAGTGGAAGCTAAGTTTCGTTCCGGGTGGTGCCCTCATAACTTCGCCACCTTCTCGGTCGGGTAGGCTTAGGCGAATGTATGCGAAGGCCTTTTCCAGATCCTCCAGATCTCTTAGAATCCTCTGAAGGTTGGCGAACCCTCGTGGCGCCTCCGCCTCCTCTGTTCCCTCTTCTTGTGGTTTCGGATTTTCGTCTATTTCTACTCGCAGGCGAGTCAACAGTTCCCTAAGCCCTTTGAGCAATCTGGGGCTGGCTTGCATCATGTTCTGGAATGATACCGACACCATGGTTCCTAGGAGTTTGCTAAGGGTGTCATCGATCTAAGGCATGGTTAGGATCGGGATCTGATATCTAAATTTTTTATTGGCTGCCGTGACCTTGTCCGTAGGTTCCTCTTCCCTAGGTTTTTCGTACACTTTTTCCGGTTCCCCAGCCTCGGGCTCTGCTTCGGGTATGGCTCCCTCAGCAACTTCCTCCATCACAGCGTCACGAACAATCTTTCTTTCAGTCGTCCTTAACCAAGTGGTCGCATTCACCTTATCGCCTTCATCGGTTTCTCGGATGAAGTTTACCTGCACTCCGCGCCCCCGCGACTGGTCCCAAACAATGTCGGCTACCGGCTCGGCTTCTACGGCGGTTACGTCTAGGTTGTTCAGAGCAATAACGTCGCGCCGCATCCTGCCGGGCGAATTCCAGTTTGATCGTTCCCCCTGGGTTCCGAAAATTTCGCCTTTTAGCGACCTGCTACACCTCTGCCTTATGATATCATGATTAAGTTTCGGGTAGGCCCGCACAAAGTGTCCGACCATCATGCAATACTTGCACTGTTCATTAGCCGGATCTTTCCTACCGTATCCTCGATTAGCTACTGCTGTCGGGACCTATGTGTCTGAAATTGGATTCAACGGGGGTTTCCCGTTGAACAGTTCAACTCCAGTTGAACCCCCGTTACAACTCCGCGCTAAACCGTGTTAGAACGGGGTTCAACTCGACCCGCGAATTTTTTTTTCACTGGCAGAAAATACTCGAAAACAAAAACAAAAAATACAAGGGTGTTGTTTTTTTGCGCTCTACATCCCCATATTTTTAGTTTTATTTTTTGAGCATTCAATTTATTTTTAAAAAATCAAAAACCTAACCGAACTCAAAACACATCGATTTTTTTTTTTTCTACATGTATTACCTGAAAAAGTAAGGAGATCTTGGTTCCCCTCCTCCTCTCCTTCAACCACCAGTGACTCGCCCAGCTATCAAGTCCGAGGCTCAGACTACAGGTAGCCCGATCATTCCTGAGCCTCGGACTTTATTGCCGAGCCTCGGAAAACCGGTAGTGCATAAAAAAAA